ATATAGTTTTGTTTTTAACGATCGTCTTATTACTGGTTGTCCACCAAATTGATGGTCAGCGCAGAAGAAGTCGTACTAAAAGCAAAGCTAAGGGTAGGTCTAAGAGTGATCTTTGCCACCAGAAAGAGGCCGAAAAATGTATGAACAAAATGGTTGAGTTGGGCAAAGGCAAGGACCCCACAGCCATCATCGCATCCGAGGCCGGACTCAATCGCATCTGCAAGTAATCTAACCATAAGTTTCCTAATTTCATAACTTTTATCTATTTTTGAGCTTATTTTCTGAAACATTGAATGTTTGTATAGAACTATAAAAGACGATACATTAAAATGTCTGAAAAACTACTTCAAGAAGTGCGGAACACCACTGCACCGGGAGATAAGTGACCTGATCATTGACCAGGTTGACTTCAGGATCAATAGATTTTGCTCAGATAAGGAGAGAAGGTCAAGTGAGTTATCGTTGATTTTTGAATATGAATATATTTTTGATAATTTAAATGCAAATGTATTGCAAAATAGATTTCACACTCAATACTTAAAGGAAAGGGTTTGTTCTCATTTCCATTAATTAGAGTATTTATTGTGCAAAAAACTTGTGATAATTATTCAACTTTTTTTCAATTTTAAACCAAAAGTTTCAAACAATCATTTTATTTATGTTTACTATTACTTTTGTCGCTTTTTAATGCAAATTTTTTAGGTTATGTAAACTTTTTTCAATAATTGTCTTGTTTTAATAGTTCTCTATTTCACAAAACATTTTAATATATGCTAACAATATAAGCAATTTTATAATTGAATTAACTTATAACACGATATTTACTTGTTGTTAATGAAAACTTAAGTACAGAATCTGTACTACAAATACTACATAATTAAAGACATGTGTTCTTGATATTTGCATTTAATTTATAAGTTAGTACAATACACTATTACCATTTCAACTGTATTTGCGTTATACAATTTTATAATTGTATTAGTCATTTGTGTTTATCAAAGTATAAAAAGATATCATTTTAGATCTATTTATACTTATGAAAATCTCTATAATTAGAATATCGATTAACACTATTATTAACGATTTGATTGTGAAATTTAAACTAGCATTAACAATATCAAACAAATAATCGCTAGTCTATCAATTGTCAGTTATGCACACAGATTAGACTTTTGAAAGTACAATAAAACCTGTCCAATGAAATAATTTGAGGAATGTTTACTCAAAATTAAAAATAGATATTAATATCTAAATTAAGATATAAGAGGAGAATATACAAAATAAGAAAATGTATCAGTGTACTAAGTATAAGAATAAATTTTATTAATAGTTTTGTACATAATGAACAAATAGATTTGTATTTTTATTACTGTACATTTGAAATATGAATTTGATTACTTAAAAAAAATTGTTATATTTTTAAACAGCGTTTCTGACACAAAGTCCCTGTTTTCACGCAAAGGTGTTCAGTACACACGAACACAAGTCTAACTGTAATAACAAATTCCTGTCGCGAGTCAACCAAATAGAGACCGCGAAAGTAAATGTGGACGAAATTCACGCCACGCTATGCTGTGGTTATAACATTTGGGACAACTGTACCACATCTATGGTGACCAACCAGTGCGGGGCGAAGGGACAGGAGGTGTTCAAGTCGTTTC